CCTATGGGCCAGGTTCTCAGGAGCTGGGGGGGCCTATGGGCCAGGTTCTCAGGAGCTGGGGGGGCCTATGGGCCAGGTTCTCAGGGGCTGGGGAGGGGCTATGGGCCAGGTCCTCAGGAGCTGGGAGGGGCCTATGGGCCAGGTTCTCAGGAGCTGGGGGGGCCTATGGGCCAGGTTCTCAGGAGCTGGGGGGTGCTATGGGCCAGGTTCTCAGGAGGGAGGGATAGGCTGGCGCTGGGGAGCCAGGCACTGTCGGCCTGAAGACAGGCACTGAGGCTGCCAGTGAGTGGGGGCATCACCCAGGGACAGAGAGTGCAGGACCTGCAGAGCAGGCTGAGCTGGGGTGGTTGGGAAAGCAGGGTGGGGCCAGGCAGCATTTTGCACCTTCCTGTAACACAGGTATGACACACAAGCACATGCACTGACACACTTGCCTAAATATGCACACACAGTCACAAAGCACATACCTGAAGAACACAGACATTGCACACATGCACAGAGAGGCCCACACATGATGATACGTAGGCACTGGTCATGTCTGTGGACATGTAGGTTTGCTTGTAGGCATGTGCACATGTACATACTTGTGTGCTATGCACACAGGCCTTCATGGGAGGGCACACATGTGCGTGCATGGTTTGCTCATGCACAGGCTTTTACAGAAGCAGGGGCTCTGCAGTGTCACTACTGCCCAGGGCCCTCTGTGTGTATCTGTGTGGGGTCATCTGGAAAGGGAGTAGATCCCTCTATGGAAAAGTCCGGCTGTGAAGAGGCAAGGGAGGGCAGAAGCGAGGAGGCTGTGCACACTCAGGGAAGGATCCTCTCACTGGTGCTGCCTCCAGCGGCAGAGTTGGTGGTCACTGATGTGGGCGTGAGGGGCGGCTGTAAGAAACACAGTGGGCACAGGCTGCTGCGGAAGCTGCAGGAGGCCGTCTCTCCCGCTGCAGTAGGAGGCCTGGAGGGCACAGTGGCTGCAGTTAGACAGGTTAGTGGCTTGGTGGCTGGATCTGAAGTCTTATTGTTCTTCTGCTTCCTCCATGCAGTAGGAGGTGCTTAGCAGACCTTGGAGCCAGGAGAAAATGGGCCAGTGACTCTATCACAGCAGGGGTGCAGGACAGGAGGGGTACAGACTAGGAGGCAAAGGAGCAAGAAAGTCAAGTGCATCAGGAAGAGGAGAGCTGAAGGCCTGGGCCCTGAGGGCAGAGTAGGGATGGAGGTGCTGAGGGGGGATGGTGGGGCCTGCACACAATGTTGGCAAGTGGCCGAGATAAGAGGTGACCAGTCACAGGGATATCAGAGGTGAGCTAAGATTTGACAGTAAGCTGTGTCAGGGGTGGCAGGGCCCAGCATGGCCATGGGAGGAAGCTACCAGGGCACTATCCAGAGGTTGACATGAAATAGGGCCTGGGGTAGAGAGGGGCCTGCCACTGATTGGATGTATGACTGCAGCCCTGTGGGTGGGGAGAGGCAGCCACGCTGATGTCAGTACATATGGCAGAGTTACACCTGCATGTTCAGGTCAGGCTCAGAGGGAGTACTCCAGAATTCCCTTGTCCTACTCTGGGAGTTGGTTATGAGATGAAGCCCCTTCTTGGGAGGCATCCTCACACAGAAGCAGGGGTCGCCTATAGGGTGACCATCCATTCACTAAGGAGTCTATGGGCCAGGCATGATGGCACATACCTGTAATCCTAGTGTTAATAAAGCTGAGGCAGGAGGATTGCTATGAGTTTGAGGCCAGGCTGGGCTACAAAGAGTTCCAGGCCAACCTGAACTGCACAGGGAGACTCTGTGTCAAAGTGTAACAAAACCCAGCTCTGCTAAAAATTGCATGCCCTTCTAAGGGGACTGTGGAGTCCTGGGGTGGGAGAGTATCTGCCCTCCTATAGGACACTGGATATAGGCAGGTTGGTTGTGAGGGCCCAGGGAGTAGCCAGGCATCTCCCCTGCGCACCAGGCTCCAGGGGCAGCTCTCCTGCCCACTCCTAGTAGGCTGGCTTCCTTGAGTGGCACCTCTGGCCCCATCCCCAGGCTGGCATGGCTGCAGGTTGCCCTGGGCAGGCCTCTGACTCTCCGACATGTTCCACAGGACAATGGATTATGGACTCCTTTCTTCAGCACGTGCCACTTCCTGTGAGCCCCGTCTTCACCCTCACAGGGATACCCCCAGCACAGAACCCATGGGCCACCCTGACTGCCACAGGCTGAACGCATCTTGGCTCCCCACCTGGTCCTGCAATGTGTCCCATGGCCAGACACATGCAGATACCAGATCTCACCCCTGCACACCCAGCTCCAGTGCACACATAGCCTGCTGCATCACCTTCTAGATGGTTTGTTTCCAAATGAGTCCCAGCACTGTGGCCAGGCCTGCCCTCTGAGTCACTCAGACTCAGGCAGGCCTGTCCTTCCCTGGCACAGTTAGCACGTACACACACACACACACACACACACACACACACACACACACACACACACACACCAATACCACCAACAGCTCTTGCCCCTTGACAGATGTGACCCAAACTGCTCGCCATCCATCTGGTCTTCTGCCCATCCACTACCTGGAGAAAACTCAGGGTTATCTCCCTGCTCTGTGGCCAGGTGCTTTCTGCTGTCTGAAGCTCACAAAAGCTGGCTTTTGCTCCTCTGTCTCCTCTGGGGATGGAAACTGTCTGGAGTTCTGTCCCGCTGGGTGCTGGGGCAGTCACCATGCTGAGCACCCTTCCCTGCTGTGCCCTGGCAGGCACCAGCACTTTGGAAAGACAGTCCTCCTAGAAGCAAGCCGGAGGCCTCCCGACTGCTGCTGGGTCCCTAGCACAGGGGTAGCCGAGGCTATGGAGCTGGAGGAGCAGGCAGGAAGGGCCAGGCTGTACTATGAGACACTCTACACTTTTATACAGGGAATTTCTAGGTGCCTTTTTTGTTTTTAGTTGTTTTTTTTTTTTTTTAAGAAAAGAAAAATTATAAAAATCTCAAAGCTGACTTCTCTTGTTACAGACAAACTAATATAAAAGCATTATCCCTGTCCTTGCAGCCCGTGTGTCTGTGTTTGCTTCCTGCAAGCGCTGGGCTAGGGTCTGCTTGGGGCAGGCAGGATACAAGTGCTGCCACACCTTGCCAGGCCAGCAGGAACTAGGGCAGAATTCAGTTCTTGGTGTCCTCAAGGAGTTGTGTGGGCAGAGGGCCAGGGAGATGCAACTTGGTGGCAGCTAAGGAGGCCAACAGGTGTATGCGACCCTCAGCTGGGCAGGAATCAGCAGATAGGGCTGGGACCACGATACTAGGCCTACAAGCCCAGCAAAGGACCTGCTGGGCACAGACTGCTCCGCACTCATCTGGAGGGTCACGTTGGCACTAAAGGGCTATTACCATGGAAGTAGGAGGGGGAGGCAGGCCTAGGAGCTGGCGCAGAGCTGGCCTGGGGCAGTCTCTGCAGGCCTTGCCAGGGAAAAAATGATGGACATGCCCAGTGTGTCCCTCCAGGGCAGAGCTGGACCCGAGGGAGGAAGCTGCAGGAGGAAGCTGTGGCACCCAGTTCCTTTGATGGACAGAGCTTCTCCACAGTACAGTGCAATGCCCAGGAAGTAGTGACCTTCCTGCTACTGGTGGTGTGTGAGCACGCAGCTACCAAGGCTGCTAAAGATCAGATTCCTGCCTTGTGGCGGGGCTAACTTGGTTGTTTAAAGGAGCTTAGAAATGTGATCCTGGGAAGGGGCCCAAAGCCCATCCACATGAAGGTGGGGGTGGCTGACAGCCTGAAATCCAAGCTCTCCTAGGAGGTGGGGCCTCTCAAATGGAAGGAAGTCTTGTAGTGGCCATAAAGCCCCCAGCCCTGCAGTGATTAGAGTGACGTAGGGCACGGGTCTCTTCCTGAACTCTGTGCACTGTCATGCTGGGAGGAAGATGGATGCAGATCAGGAGCCAGGGTATCTCTCCCCATGACCTCGGAAGGCTTGTCCTCCCTGAATGTCATGTCATGATTGCCATGGTGTATGACCCTCCCATACTCAAGCCTCTTACAAGGGCCGAGGGTGAGTGGGTGGGGGAGACCCTGGATGTCAAATCTATGTCCCCTCTCTAAGGCAGAGCACTCACCAAGGGGAGAAACACTGGGAGATGTGTCTCATGTGGTCCCCACTGCAGAGCACAGCCCTGGCAGAGGCACAGTCCCTGAGCAAGGCCCTGGGACAACCAGGCAGCACTCCATCTTCAGCACAAACGGGGCTGTCCTCACAGTGGTCACCAGGACAGGCTCATCTGCATGCCAACAGCCTCCATTGTCCAAAGTGTGTGCTGTAGGCAGATGAGACTTGAAAAACAAAAGATCTTTATTTAGTTATCACTGAATTTTCAAAGACAGAAAGGAATCGGAATTGTGACTTCACTTTGTCATACAGGCCTTTGGGGAGTTCTGGCCCCAGGGTGCCACTGGGGCCTGCTCTCCTGTGCATAGGAAGCTGGCCTGGATGTCCCCACCAGGCCCTTCCAGGATCCCTAGTAAAGATATCCATCCCCACATCAGACGAACTGTGAGACTCAGATGGTGGGCAGGAACAGGGAGGTCGTGGCACATGGATGGCACCAAGTGGGTCTCAGCTCAGGACGGGCCCAGCTTTGGGGACGGCTATTTGTCTGAGGCCAAATGCTATGGGGTGGGGTAGGGGTTGGTGTGGACCTGGGCCTGGACATGGCTGGGGCAGAAACCAGGATGTTGCTATTACATTTTCATAAATTAGAAGCAGTGGTGACTGTGGAGCCCCTGCATTGGTCCCTGCAGGCCACTCTGTCCAACAGGAAGGTGTAGCCAGGGCTCAAAGACTCAAGTTAGCCTCCTAGCCCTGATGTTGCTTTCTCAAGACTATGGACAACCTCCTCCTGACACCCACATAGGCTTGCAGGGTGGCAACTCTCAGCTAAGGTTTGGGCTCCGCAGGCCATCGCTCTCCAGTTGGGGCTCCTGCACACACCCTCTCCTCTCTGCAACTCTGTTTCCCATCTCTGAGGCTAATTCCAGTCTCTCAGGAGGAGCAGGTGCCTGCCGGCTGCTCAGGTGAGCTGCGAGGTCAGCTCCTGCCCCACAGGCTCAGACGTTGGTCTCCAACTCACTGATCTCAATGGTGCAGTGGTCCAGGCTGGCTGTGGCCAGCTCCTCATCCTGCTCCACCTGCACAGGGATGTGGTGGGGGCAGGCGGGGCCGAGGGTCAGCTCTGAGGCCTCAGCCACACTCTTCACACAGCCGTTCTGCTGGGTCGCCACGATCTCCTGAAGGCTCAATGGCTTGGTCTCACAGGGTGGCAGCTTCTGGAGAAGGGCATGAGATTTGGTAGCAGCAGAGGGACGGAAGGTGGCTGGGGTAAGTGAGCATGGAGTTGGGAACCAAAAACAAGATTTTCCTACAGAAACCCTAGGTGGCCCAGCACGTCACAGGTCTCTCTGACACCAATCCCCAAGCTGTGTTGAACCCAACTGGACCTGTCTCAGTAGAAGAGGGACCCGACCCACATGTTAAACCAGGGAATTTCTGGCTTTCTCACCTGAGCCTCCTCTTCCCCCCCTTCCCCCCGTGAAGTGGGAGTGGCCTGCACATAGCTACAGAGAGATCCAAGAAGACCATCCAGCCCTATCCTGTCCCCAGACCTGTGACCTAACAGGACAGTGCCACCTTACACTAGGGTCTGAGTCACCCAGAGCAGGGGACTTTACAGTAGTTTCCACTATTTCTAGCTTGAGCTGGCCCAGAGGAGTTCCTCATCCCTGTTAGTCACGAGTGAGGACATCAAGGATTGAGCGGCTGGCTGAAGGCTGCCCAGCAGTGGGCGGGAAATCTTGTGCTCACTCTGCCTGGCCGCAGCCTCCCCATGGCCCCTGGCAAGGAGTCTTGTTCTCACCTCAGTGCCAGTATCCCGAGCAAAGTCCTTCCGGCAGATGTGGGCCATGATCCCTGCAGCCAGCGCATCTCCCAGCACGTTAATCATGGTGCGGAAACGGTCTCTGGCGAGCCAAGGTGGGCAGTTAATACAGGGAGAAGTGGAGCCGGTAGGGACCATGCCCCTTGGCAGAGCAGAATGCCCAGCCATCCTCGGTGGTGCTGAAGCAGGCTGATAAAAGGCTGGCCTGGGTCAGCGACACGGGCCCTGCACTTCAAAGGACAGGATTGGTCTAATGCTCTGTGGTCGCTGCCTTGAAATTCTTTACCATTCTGTTTTCATTTTTTTTTTTTTTTTCCCTCAGAACCAGGGATTGAGCTCATGCCCTTGCGCTTGCCAGGGAAGTGCTTATTCCACTGAGCCATCTCCCCGGCCCCTCCGTTTTCATTTTTTAATCTGGGCCTGCTGATTATGTGCCAGGCCTGTGTATATGAGGAAGACAGTTATACTGTTCCACACAGCATCATAGTACCTTGGGGCCCTTGCTCAGGGCAAAGGACTCAGCTCCCTACCCTGCCAACCCTGCCCTAGCCAAGGGGTGGGGCTGGGGTGGGCATGGGGTACACTCACAGAGCCCAGTCCACAGCGACGATGAGGTTGATGTCGTCAGTGGGCAGCCCCACAGAGGTGAGCACAATGACCATGGTAACAAGCCCGGCCTGGGGGATGCCAGCTGCCCCAATGCTGGCTGCGGTGGCTGTGATGCTACATGGGATAGAGTGGAGAGGGGAAGAACGGGGTGTCAGGAGGTGGTTGGGTACGGGTTGGGACCCTGCTCCAAGGAGGATTCCAGAAAGCCAGGCTGAGAGGTTGGCAAGGAGTTCCTGGAGGAGCGTGACCCTGCACACACTCCTGGGGTCTCACGGACCTTCATCCTTAGCCTCTTGCGACCTAAAGAAGCTGTGGAAATTGGTGTCTAGAACTGCACCTCTGTTGGTCCTGGCGCTACCCAGAGATGCTGATCCCTGACCAGCACAACTCAGCCCAGCCTTTCTCAGGGGCCTGGCCTCCAGCACCAGATTTGAGAGCTGGGCTGGCCTTTGAGGCCCCCCTCAGCCTCTGTTCCACCTCAGCATCCCTACCCTCAGCCCCATGGGCTGGCCCGGACCCCTCACCCTCACTGGCCCCATAGATGCCTCCAAGAACGCGGCCAGGACACACCTGATGGTGATGATCTGGCCAAAGTCCAGCTCGTAGTTGTTGACCTGGGCAATGAAGATGGCAGCCACAGCCTCGTAGAGTGCAGTGCCATCCATGTTGATGGTGGCACCCACGGGCAGCACAAAGCGGGCGATGCGCCGGTCGATGTGGTTGTTTTCCAGCAGGCACTTGAAGGTGATGGGCAGTGTGGCTGAGCTATGGGCAGAGGGGCTGGTGTCTGCCCACCACCCTCCTCCAGGATGACCAGAGCTTCTGACAGAAAGCTGCCTACCCAGCATCCCTCTGCTGGGCCACCTGGGCTTAGAGTCCAGCCTCTGCCCAAGGCCCTGGAAGAGACCTAACAGGATACCCTGGTTCCCTTATCCACACAGGAGCCAGGTCACAGAGATGATGGAAGATCCAGCCACACCGTGCTCAGACAGTGCCTGGCCCTGAGTTCTGTGCCCACTTCTTCTGAGGCAGGCTGTGTCTGGGCATCTGTCAGGGAGGAGGCTTGTGGGCATTGCACAGACTGTGTGGCTGAGGCCCAGGGAAGAGCAAGTGAGGTGAGGGCTGGAGGGAGGAGTAAGGCATTGGGGCAGACTGGTGGGCTCAGGTCTCCTCAGCTTCTGACTTCCTCCATGTCTTGTGGGGTTCTACATGGGACTTCTACACTCATGAAGGAAGATTGCCTTAACCTCAGAAGGTGACGTGCTCAGGAAGTAACTGCCTTCTTCCCCTGGACCAGCTGCCTGATTTGCCCAGCTCTAACTCCCTAAGATGCTCTGTACCCAGTTAGGTTTGGGAGCCCCAAGACTAGGCCTGAGCTCTTTAGCCTCCACACCCTCTGCTGCATCCCTAGGGATAGAGGTTCAAATTATCCCAGCCCCAGTCCGAGGACACTGAGGCCCAGGGAGATTAAGTGATTGCTCACCATCTCAGTGAGT